TGTTTCTGTACCCCTCTTCCTTGAAATATACATGTGTATGTGCCCATAGATACACACCACATGCATTTTCAAAGTCAAAGCTAAATAGTATTCCTGTTACAACCTCTCTTCCAACTGAGTGATGTGAAGATCATGTAATTTATGCTGGTTTCCACTTAACACATCTATGGAGAGTTGAGGCTATCAGCCAGCTACCAACAAACAGGAAGTGAATTGATTATCAGCATGCCTGGGGACTGTGTAGACATGCCTATCAACCTCATGTTGTTATATGATTTGTCCTTGGGATCTGACCAAGGTTCTCGGTATTTTAATCAATATGAGATAGATACTTTCAAAATTAGGACCCCATGGTGTGACCCATGATGATCTGGACATCATTTTTGTCATCATTTTCTCTGTGAAAAAGAATAATATTGTGTGTGTGTCTCCTCCTTAGATCTGACATAGAAGGCATTCATGGAAAAGGATACCTTTGTATACTGCACTTGAGAGGTGGTAGGCCTATGCACGGGGAAGAAGAGATTAGGTCATTAATAAAATGGTACTCATATCCTTTCTAATTTAATAAATCAATGTAACTTCTACAGATGTGACACCAGGGAATTAAAGAATACAAAGTTTTCTAATGCACAACTATTTCACTCATATACACACATACACATACATACATGCCCAACTAGCCAAACAATATATAATTATAGTAATCCTTTACAAGATGTCAGTTCTAGTCTTAATGAAACTAGTAGCAGGTTTAGTTCATGGAGTAGTTTAAATGGAATGTGCTTAGGAAGGTCTAACTTCAAAGAGCCTTTAGTCAGAGCCCAAGAAACTTTCTCAGCCCTCTCTGATGATTTCATTTTTCTCTTGGCTAATATATTTTATCCATCAGTATCAGGTTGGGCCAGAAATACTTGATTTTGAGATAGGAGTCATTGTTTTTTCAGGTTTTCAGAAAAATAATTACATTTATTATTGTGTATTATATATGGGGATAGAGATAGATATAGATTTGTTAATCCATATCTTCTAAGGTCCCCATATTGTTGACTAGAGTTGGCAGATGGGCCACAAGCCCAACATGTCTTTACCCAGACTTTTTCAGGTAAGTAAATGCAAGTTCAGATTCTTAGGTGCTCTTTATATGTGTGTTGCCAAAGCAGACACATAAAATGCTCTTCATAAATCAACCCCTTGTATTTCCTTTCCTATGATTTAACTCATGTTTTTGTTGATACAGGCTCATTTAATATTACCTATAACCATTCACTGTATGAATGATTGCTGTTATGTTTTGTCAATACAGTGGAAATTGGCAGAGTTGGTCCTGGCAAATGCAGAAGTCACTGTAACATTTTGGCCCATCCTGCCTCATATTTTATCACTCCTCCCATATGCACTTCCTCATATTCATAGTACATATAGTATTCAAGAACTTTATGTACAGCAAAAATATTTTTACACATATTTGAATTTCTTATTCAAAATATTATAACCAACAAATTTGTCACTGTCGTTTAATCACAACACAAAAACATACCACTGATACTATATGCCACGGTTTATAACAAGTGCGTTGTAATTTTTTGCTTATTTAAACCTCACGTCATGTTTATGAGTTAGGTTTTATTATTATTCCATTTTACAGATGAAGAAAGTAAGGCACAAAATTTAAGTAAATTTCAAAAAGTAGACCCCGAATTTGAATTTAGATATTTTGACACTAGGCCAGGCGTGGTGGCTCATGCCTGTAATCCCAGCACTTTGGAAGGCCAAGGCGTGTGGATCACGAGGTCAGGATCACCGAGACCATCCTGGCTAACACGGTGAAACCCCGTCTCTACTTAAAATACAAAAAATTAGCCGGGCGTGGTGGTGGGCGCCTGTAGTCCCAGCTACTCGGGAGGCGGAGGCAGGAGAATGGCATGAACCCGGGAGGCGGAGCTTGCAGTGAGCCGAGATCGTGCCACTGCACTCCAGCCTGGGTGACAGTGCGAGACTCCATCTCAAAAAAAAAAAAAAAAAAAAAAAAAAAAAAAAAAAAAAAAAAGATATTTTGATACTCGTATCTATGATCTTAAACCATTTTTACTACTAAAATTGTGACTGACTTGTTATACTTGCCACTGCTTCTTTGTTTTATATATATATACACACACACACACACACATACACCCACACACACACACACACATATATCTTGGCCCATAGAACCCAACATAGCACAGTCTAAGAGAACTTTCTGTGCTGATGGAAATGCTCCTTATATATTCTGTCCAATATTGGGAAGCACCAGGCACATGTGGCTATGAGCTTTTGAAATATGGCTAGTTAGAATAAGTAACTTTGTATTTAATAATATTTAATTTAAATTTGAAGTACCATATGTAGCTAGTAGTTGCCCTATTGGACAGCACAGATTCCAGCACAACACGTGACTTAGGAATGACACTCAGTACATATTTGTTAAAGGAAGGAAAGATTCAGATTTATTTCTCCAGCTCAGATCTCTCCCTTGACCTTCAGACTTATGTATGTAATTTCTTATTTGAAACCTTCAATGAATGTCTATTAGACATTTTCAAACCGTCTATTAGACAGTTCCAAAGACATTTCCAAATAGTTCATGTCCAAAATGAACTATTGATCTTTCCCTCCAAGCCTACTCCATCCATAAGCTTCTCCATTTCAGTTTCTTCTACTCCCTCAGACTAAAAACTTTAGTCATGTATGACTTTTGACATCTAATCTATCAACAAATTCCGTAGGCTCTTCTTTCAAATTATATATGTAATCTGACCACTTCTAGTCACCTCCACCAGTTTTACTAAAATTTAAGCCACAGCCATTTTTGTTCCATGTTATTGCAATAGACCTTTTATGTGTCTCTTTTCTTTGCTATCCCTGTTACACTCTTACTATTGTCTACACAGCAGCTAGACTGTTCTTCTGTATTCAGGTCAAGTCAGAGCAGACCATTCCTCTGTTTAAAACTCACCAGTGGTTTCTCATTTCACTCAAAGTAAAAGCAAAAGTCCTTCCAATAGCCCAAGAGCCCTATATAATAGCCTCCGCTCCCCCGTCCAATACCCTATTCTCTCTCTCTGTCTCATGATTTTTAATACTCTCCCTTCTTTATTCCACTTTACTTTCACTGGCTTCCTTATTGTTTATTTTTTTAAGAAGGCAAAGTAAACAAATAGCTTAAGTATTTTTATTTGTTTGCAACTAAGCTTGTTAACACTATATAATGAAAATGTACAAAGAATGATGTTGCAGTTTTTGGTTAGATTTAAGTTAAAGACATTCATTAATAAGGAATCTTCAAACATGAGTATTCCAGAAATTTCTCTAAGCCATCTGATCTGAATAACTGTCTCTGAGTAACACCATACTTTGTAAGGTATTGTCATGCATTTGAATTAAACTCAGATTTTTTCAAAATAAGCCCTGATTTAAAAAACTATTCTATATTCAAACTAAAAGAATATAAACAGAACTTTTCCTTTCCAGAAACAATAAAGGAAACAAGGCATTTTGTAAAATATGGTCCTGAGCAAGTCACAGTGAAAAAAAATGTATACTTCTACCTGCTCAAAACAGAGGCTACTTTCTGTTCCTCAGTCTTGGAAACAAGGTTAAGAACAGCGTATATGTGACTTCGGGCAGGGGGTTGCCAAAACAGCTCAAGCAGTTGACCGTGGACACCTCAAATGAATTTGGGAGAACCTGACCAAAGGATCCAAATTCTATTTTTAATAACTAATACAAAGGTGAAGTGGCTCCTCCCAAGTAGCAGTGCTGCCGGGGCCTGGCCCTGGCCGAGGCCCAGGCCCAGCTCTGAGCTTACCTGTTATGCTCCAAAGCAAACCCTGATCCTTCTGCTCCAGGGAAGACCTTTTCCCTTTAGAGGTTCAATGTCCGGGGAGCTCTGTGATTGTGTGAATGAGGTGAGCGCCGACTCCGTGTGAGTATTTTAAGGCTTGGAGTCAAAGTATTTTTCTAACACGCTTAGGCAGAGTCCGTGTGTCAATGGCTCATCTCCAGTTCTAATTTCTCACCACATATTTGTAGATCTACGACCACAGACCTTTGCTATATTATCATAATCACAGCTAATGTCCATCCTAACTTACGATTCATATTCTGTGCCTGGAAACAGTCCCTGTATTTAACAATAAAAACTACACATAAAAACAATCCACTATTGCAACTTATATGGTCACAAAGCATTAATGATCTTCTGTAGAACAAGCAATTTTTTATTTATTTTTATTTATTTTTTATTTTTTTGAGACAGTCTCACTCTGTCACCCAGGCTGGAATGCCATGGCACGATCTTGGCTCACTGCAACCTCTGCCTCCCGGGTTCAAGTGATTCTCCTGCCTCAGCCTCCTGAGTAGCTGGGACTACGGGTGCCTGCCACCATGCCCAGCCAATTTTTGTATTTTTAATAGAGACGGGATTTCACCATGTTGGCCAGGCTGGTCTCAAACTCCTGACCTCAGGTGATCCACCCACCTCCGCCTCCCAAAGTTCTGGGATTACAGGTGTGAGCCACAGCGCCCGGCCAAGCCAATGTTTTTAACCATAATTGTCATGAATTAAAAACAGAATCCCCAAGATCAAAAAAAAATTGCACTATACAAATAATAACTTGAAATATACATACACACACTCTCATACACACTTCTTACAGAACTGTGCTTGGGGAAGTTCCATTTGTTGAGTGCCACTGAAGGCATATTTTGCTAAACTGCTGCTCCAGGTATTTTTGTTTAGAAAATCTATCACAGTAGGGCACAGCTGTTTACTGGATGAGCAGAAAAGGAAGATATGCTTGTGGCAACCAAAAAGTTTTAAGGTCTTTCAAGTTGTATAAAATGGACCTGCAGAAATGTTTAAGTATTCTCAGGATGCAAAGTTGGAGCTGAAATGTGTTATCAAACCAGTTGCAAAAAGTGTACAGCAGGCATCTCTTGAGGTCAAACCTGGTACCCAGATATGTGACAAAGCTTCAGGACACATGGCTTGTTGGCCTTGTCCCATATCGTTGCATAATCTGATCATATGTGGATTTCGCAAAAGATTCCTTCATATTGTTCTGCTAGTTTGGTATTGAGGATTTGCTCACAATCCTCCTGAATCTTATCTTCATCGTCTAAGACATGCTCACATATTATTCCAATTTGTCAGAGGGTAAATGTGGGCTGGTCCTTCTTCATCCATGAGGAACCTGGAGAGCTAGGTGCTATGAGTGCTGAGGAGTGAGGTTGACTTTCTGAAGCACAAGCTTCACTCTGATTAAGAACAATTTCTAAATGTCTCCACCTCTGATAACGACTATATTCAGTTTTGTGTTCTGAAAAATTTGCTCTGGAATTGTAAGGCGCCGCTTGCTGCCGGGTGGGGCGGGCTGCTGCAGACTTGGCGGTGGGGTCTGTGTCTGAAGCGGCGGCGGCAGCTTGGCGTCGGGGCCTGAGGCCCAGAGTGGGGCCCGGCAGAGAGGCGCAGCGCCACCGCTTCGGGGGAGCAGGGACTCAGCAGCTTAGTCCCGAAGTCCATGGGCCGCTTCAGCGTCGCCCGGTTCGCCAGGTCGCTGAGGGGCCAGGGACCGGGAGTGGACTCGGGGGTAAGTGCGGCCTAAGCTCCGGCTCCTCAGTGGGGCTTGCCAGCCAAGCCCTATTGTTTCCTTTTCTATTGAGATCCAAAGCCAATCCTTATTATTTGTGTATTCTGTATTGGTGAATTTTCCTAGCATTTAAATTTATTTGTCACCCCTGGTATATTTATACTTCCTTGTATATTTCTTCTTTTTTGATAAAGTTAGGTTATGGCTTGTCTACTTTGTTAATTTTTTCAAAAAATTGTGGTTTTAGCATTAGATCTGTTTTTCTATTCTCTACCTCATTAATCTATGCCCTTATGTTGCTATTTTCCTTTCTTTTCGTTTGCTTTGTTGTTTCTTTCGCCTTTTTAGCTAAGAATGTAATTCATTTTTTAATTTTTATTTTATTGATGAACATGTTTAACTTAGTGAATTTTCCTTTAATCGCCTCATTAAATGTATCCCACAGATTTTGATATGTAGTGTTTTCATGATCATATTTTAAAGACATTCTGTGATTTTAATTTGTATTTCTTTCTTTAAAGAATTATTTAAGAGAAAGCTTATAATTTTCCATGCAGAATGGACTTAAAAAGTGATTTTTAGCTTTATTGTAGTATTATTATTAGACAATGTTTATAACATGTCAACTTTATGGAACTTACTGATGTTTTCTTTGTAACCTAATATATGATCACTTTTTGTGAGTGTGTCATGTGCAACTGAGAAGTGTAGCCTCTAGTACCAGGGCATAAAATTTGATATATATCTGTAAGATTGTTATTTAGGTCTTCTACATCTTTACTTATTGTTTATCCACTTGATTTGTTGTTTAATGAAAATGATGTGTTAAAGTTTCTTATTTTTAATGTGCTTTTATATACATCTCTAGTATTTTTGCTTTATAAAGGTGGTGGCTGTATTACTTGATGCACAGATATTCATGTATCTTTATTTGGAGAATGGCTTTTAGCATTTAAAGTGTTCTGTGTGGCTGGGTGCAGTGGCTTGTGCCTGTAATCCCAGCACTTTGGGAGGCTGAGGCGGGCAGATCACTTGAGGCCAGGAGTTAAAGAATAGCCTGGCCTAAATGGGGAAACCCCATTTCTACTAAAAATGCAAAAAATAGCGGCATGTGGTGGGCGCCTGTAGTCCCAGCTACTCGGGAGGCTGAGGCATGAGAATCACTTGAACCTGGGAGGCAGAGGTTGCAGTGAGCCGAGATTGCACCACTGTACTCCAGCCTAGGCCACAAATAAAAGTGTTCTTTGTTTAATTTAATGCTTTTTGACTTGAAATCTATTTTGTCTGATATTGATTCCATTTGCCTGGTAGACTTTTGACCATTCCTAAATTTTCCTCTTTTGCTTCACATTCCTTTAAACTTCCAGTCTTCACAGGGTATCTCTCCCTTATTTTTTGCCACTTTTTCTCTTACAAATGATACCTTTCAAAGTCTGCCTTTTGAAGACTGCATAGAATGCTCTTCCCCAAGGCTCTAATCTACCAGTTTGTCATTATTTTTGTGCTTTGTGTGGACTTTGTCTTTCTGGTTGTGATTTCAGATTAATCTTAGGCTACTAGCCCCTTCTTTTCTCATTAACACTCCTGTTTCAGCATTGTCCTTGCTCTCTGGAAAGACTTATGAGTGATAGCTTGCTGGGATTTCTTTTTTTTTTTCTACTTACAATTTAATATTTAAGTATTTTATTATATAGGTGTTTTCTTTCTTTTTGTTATGTGAAGGGCATGGCTTTATGTACTTTTATGTTGTTCTGGTGGCTCTATATTGTTTTGTAGAGGATGTGTTTGGAAATTTTGATTTACATGGTCACCATTGTCTTAACATAATATTTTCCATAGGGTTAAAAATACTTTGTAAATATATTTTTTTATTGTTATACTTTAAGTTCTAGGGTACATGTGCACAACATGCAGGTTTGTTACATATGTATACATGTGGCATGCGTAAATATTTTAATAGCTATATGATACTATGATACAAAAATATACCAATAATTTTTCCAATAATTTCCCTCTTTAGCATGTTAGTTTTTTTCCTTTTATGTGATGACATATTTGTGCATAAGTTAATTCCACTACATACTTTGGGTAGATTTACCAAAATATAATTTTTGCCTCAAGGTTATAAATATTGTTAATAATCTTGACATAGTTTGAACACAGGGAGAATCAATTGGCATGTGGATATATATTAAGCTGCTAACTAGGGTAGCCTCTATCCTTTTTTCAGGTAGCACCTTTCTCTTTTACATATATATCATGAGCCTGGCCTGAAATAGCTAGTAGGTACCAGTGTGGCTATTTCTGGTGTTTACAGCCAGCATCTCTGTTGAGTGATAGAACTTTGTGCCAATACTAGTTATTAAGTATTTGGAGATCTTCCACCTCCACAGATTATAACATTTGTTATTCTGTGGTTAGATTTTCTTTACTTAGGGCACACACTTGTCTTATATTCAGTGACAACAAGAGGACAAATGGCCTTTCTTTCAGTTGTCCTTTAGTCTGGCATCCCTGGGTTTTATAATTGAAGAAGAGGGGTGATGTTTAAGAGCCTAAAATACAACTGGCAAGACCTTAACTTGGAGAAACTAATCAATCCTCACATTAGTCATTACTGCTTTCGTGGCTTATGTCAGAGCGTGATGGGCTTATTTCTGCCCACGCTTTCTGTTAGTCACTTGTTTTTCCTCTCACTTGATCTGTTTTATCAACTGCAATTAATCAAAGCTGGGCTTACTATTCATGCAACTAGATTTTTCTCAGTAATATTATATTATCTACCATTTCCTGAATTAACTGAGACACTCTGACATGATCTGTGTACTTTAGGTGAGCCATTGTAACTTTCTGTAGTTGTTTTGTTTGGTTTGCCTCTGAATGTAAAAATAGCATTGTGTTCTCATTTGAGAGTGGTGGTTAGAATCTTTACCAATATATTTTCTATGGTTATTTTTACTTTCAATCTTTTTATTCATCACATTACATGGTAGATGGCTTAGCAATATTTATACAGTAATTCCACAAACCAGCCTCATCCTAGAATCACCTTTGAGACATTATTATTTTTTTAAATACAAACTGCCAGGCCTCATCATGGACCCAATGAATTAATCTCTTGCATTGGGATCCAGAGATCTGCATTTTAAACATCTGCCCAAGTGACTGTCATGCAGTTTGGTACCTGACTGTAGACTTATTTTTGAGATGCAAAGTTTAATGCATACCCAACCAAATCATGACCCCAGTGCAGCTCTTAAGTGGTCATCTCTGTGCTAGTTTTTAGAGCTTGTCACCCTTGCTGTATATATATGGCATGCTCCAGGGTGCATTTAAAGCTTTATTTTCTCCATATGTTTAGAAAGTCATTCCTTAACCCAATAACCTATTAAAATTCACTTATGTTTTATTTGTATTATTTAGTGGTTGTATTTTACATTTTATCTCCTCCATGCACTTGAAATTGAATATGTTGTTTGGTTGTGAAATAGAGATCTAACTTATTTTTTCCCAAATAGTTAATTTTCTATGTTCCATTTTTTGAACAATTCTGCTTTTTTCCCACCAATTTAAAATGCCGCTTTTATTGTACATTAAGTTCTTACATTTATACGATGGTCTTATCCTGAGCTTTCATTTTTTTCCACTGGCCTAACTATTCTTATACTACTATGACCATGCCACATCATTAATCATTTTCCTTTTGAGTAGCACAAAGTTTCCACAATTACTGTTTAAAAAATGTTTCACTCATTTTGCTAGTTTATTATTCCATGTAAACTTTAGAATTATTTTATCACATTCCAGAAAATTAGCTTGTTGGCATTTTGACTGCAATTATACTAAATCTATTAATTAATTGGAATCAAGTTGACAACATGCAATATTTAGTCTTTCTATCCAGGATCACAAAATTTTGTTTTTCATTTACAGAAGTCTTTTTGTGTGTAATACTTTTATTTATATTATTTCTGAGACTTAAATAAATCACTCTCTCTTCTCTCCTCTGTCTCCCACACACATACACATACAGTGCCACTATTTTTTCTATTACAATTTTGAGGTGTCTATTACTGATATATAGGATGCTTATGATTTTTATATCTTCATTCACTGACCAGGAATTTTAACAAGCTTTCTTGTTAATGTTAAAAACGTTGTCAATAGGTCTAAGCATGGTGGCTCATGCTTGTAATCCCAGCACTTTGTAAAGCCAAGCGAGAGGATCTCCTCAGCCCAGGAGTTCTAGACCAGCCTGGGCAACATAATGAGACCCCATCTCTACAAAAATTAAAAGTACAAAAATTGCTGGGCATGGTGGTGGGAGCCTATAGTCCTAGCTAGTTGAGAAGCAGAGGAATGAGGGGCCCTTGAGCCCAGGAGTTTGAGGCTGCAGTGAGCCATGACCACACCATTGCACTGCAGCCTGCGTGACAGAGTGAGACCCTTTCTAAAAAAACAAAAACAAAAAAAGTATCAGTAGTTTCTCTTGCATTTTTCAGTTAGACAGTTATATGATAGGTAAATAATGATTATTCTATCTCCTTTCCAATGGGTTTGACTTTTCTGTTTTTGTTTCTTTTTAAAATTACATTGAGAATCCAGTTCCTCACCACCTTTGCTGTTCATTACACTCAGTGAAGAGTTTATTTTTTAAATTTTTTAATTTATTTTTTATTATTATTATACTTCAAGTTCTAGGGTACATGTGCATAATGTGCAGGTTTGTTACATATGTATACTTGTGCCATGTT